ACGAAGGCTTAAATTCATATCAATTAATTAGTTATAGGTTTTTAATTAAAATAGTAATTGCTTAATTATTTAATAGGCTCTCGCCACAAATCTATACTATTGTTTTAAATATATATCAAATTTGGTATGAGTTATGTTGCAAAAATAAATAGTTTATAGTTAATATCAATAGGAAATGGATGTTCAAAATTTACCGTCAGTTATTATATTGTTGAGTTGATTTAATTAAATTTTGTACAAAAACTCTCATCCACTTTAATTAAAATGAATACAACCCATCCTTAAACACATGTTTTTATTTTAATTAAAATCAACTTTAAATTTCATTTATTTTTAATATTGCTAGACTAAAATATTCTATGTAGCTTAGAATCTTATCAATCTAAATACAGTATTTAAAAGCATAACAATTATGAAAAATTTACCTACAATAAGCCTAGTTAGTATACCAAGTTGGTAAACTTAGTTGGTAAACAACAAGCCTAGTTGGTAAACTTTAAGAACCTACAAAAGTCGGTCAAATTAGTTTTTGATAAACAGTATTTGAACATGTAATATTTTTTATCAAGACATATAAGTTTTTTAGTTGTATAACTTGTTCAAATACCGTACTTTAAAATCTTTTAGTAGTATATCCTATAGCCTAATTGACTAAGATATAATGCTTTTTTAATAATACCAAGTCGAAAACAATATCCAGTAATAATAATTAACTTCTACTATTTTTCATTATTTATAATTAAGTTTCAGTTTATTTCAATAAAAATATATTTAATATTACAAATTCTAGTAATAGTTTTGGTTATGAATTGCTTGTATGGCCTACGGAGTGGCGATCTCTCCCAATGTCAACAGTGTCTCCAAGACAAGGGACTGGTGTTTGTGAGCCATTTTGGGCGCCTTCTCCTCCTCCTTACAGAGCTCTGATCCGTACGGATACAAAAAGCAGATATATTTGGATGCGCCGGCAAAGTAGTCGTATGTCATGTCAACCGCAAAATCGACGCCTTGGCTACTCTTCACCTCATTCTTGATGCCTCTATAGAAGTCCCAAAATGCACTTCACATCCAGTACCACATGTAAACCAATAATTTATAGATTGATGCAAAATAAAACAGTTAAATCACATGACATACCAACAAAGTCTTCCGATTTTAGGCAATTGAAAGGTGGAGTTCTGTATGAAGACAGCGGTGTCCAGCAGTTTCTCTTTATATGGGATGAGTTTAGGGGCGCTTTCCCTCACTTTCTTCATACTATTAATATAGTCCTCTTTATGTGCGGTTGCGTTACAGAAGTACTCATTCTTCTCGTGAATTGTGCCCAGAATTAAGTTCAACGACACCTGAACCGCCATATTATACCTGTATTTACGTCTAATCCATGACTTCAATGCGTCCAAACGGGAGTCCACTTTACTGTTCATCACATAAGTTCACAATCAATTTTGCCCAGAATTAAGTTCAACGACACCTGAACCGCCATATTATACCTGTATTTACGTCTAATCCATGACTTCAATGCGTCCAAACGGGAGTCCACTTTACTGTTCATCACATAAGTTCACAATCAATATATCTATTTATCAAATCAATGTAATAGACTCCACAGCCATTCAATTCTTATTCATTATAAACTAGTTCATTATTGAATCACTCTAAGCCGGTTAATACTGTGCCTCACCTGCAATACTCGTTCATCTTCTCAATGGTGTCGATGTAATCACTCTCTGGTCCGCCGAATGGGTAGAATCGGTTCAAAGAGCGGTCCAATTCATTGGTCTCTGAGTCGTCGGGATCTGAGAAATAATAGCCGATATTGTTGGTGAGGTTCTTGTAGGCGCCCTCAGCATATGCCGTCTCATTCTTAAAAACAGATTTGAACTCGGTCGTCAGGTTATGGAGGATCGCGTACTGGGCCTTAATATTCCTAATAATATCATTTTTGGCCGCTTCGAAGTCTATGAACTTCTTGGTGACGTTAGCCGACAGTGCCGGTGGTGGAGGTGTTGCTGCTGTGGGCGTTGATGTCTGTGCCGTCTGAGCCGGAGCTCCAGTAGTGGCTGCGGCTGCTGTGGTTGAGATGGATGTTGGTGTGGACGGGCTTCCCGTGGTTGAGATGGATGTTGGTGTGGACGGGCTTCCCGTGGTTGAGGCGCCGGTCAAGTTATTGCTCAGTTGTGCTGTTATTGAATTGACCGCAACTAAACCTAAAAGTTATAAAGTTTACTGATAACAGTGGTTGAGATGGATGTTGGTGTGGACGGGCTTCCCGTGGTTGAGGCGCCGGTCAAGTTATTGCTCAGTTGTGCTGTTATTGAATTGACCGCAACTAGACCTAAAAGTTATAAAGTTTACTAATAACTTTTTATAATATTAATAATTAATTGCTTAATTATGTTTAATAATTACCAATTGCTATAGAAATTAAGAACGAATTTAAAAATTTATTAAACATTTTATAATTTCTTAGAGATTAAAGACAACAAAATGAGTGACAAATTTAGCACATAATCCAGATGTTTTTTAGTTTAATTACAAATTTAATTAATTTTCGTATAATTAACATATAATGCTATATAATTTAAAAGAGTATATTTGTAAATTAAATATGCTATAAATTAAAAAAAATAATATTATAAAAGTATAATAATTTTTGGGATAGGTTTTCAATAATCTATTGTTAAAATCCATATGATGTAATTATTTGTTTGTTTTATACAAATTAAAATTAAATGTTTTAAACTAAATTAATCTTGTACAATATTATTATGTACTCAAATGTCCTAAAAGTATAAATATTAAAACAACAAAAATTAGTTTAATTGTAAAACAATTATAGATGATATAAAAGTATATAATTTTAGGAAATTATTAAATAAAAAATGTTACAAAATTCCACTTAAATATGATTTTTGTATTATTTTATGATTAAATTCTATGATATTTTATTGCATTAAAGTATACATATATGTTGATAAGTAATAGTTTCTGTATTAAATTACTTTTATGTAATTTCCAACTGATTGAGTAAAAGTATATTAGCTGAAATAGTATTAAATTGAAAAAATTATAATTAAAACTTGTAAACTACAATTTATAAAAGTAATATAAAAATATATTTGATAAGAAATACTACCCTGTACAATGTATCCATTGTAATATAAATGTAATATTATATTTATAATAGTAATTAAAATCAACGAACTTTTCCACAAGTCATAAAATACAGTACATAAAAATGTTTGTCTATTATACTATTGTTAATTAATATAAGATTTTAAATATTGGGTCATTGTATTTATATTTATAATAGTGTAATGGTATAATATTATTTTATGGAAAATAATATGAAATTATGGAATTGATAATTTTGTCTCTTTTAAGCAGTTTATAATATGATAACAAATATAATACAAATATAACCGTATAATAGTTGGTACAGAATCGTTAATTTAATATAATTGTACTGAGATTTACACAATTAATTTCATTGACAAACACTTAGATGAAGATTACAGACAAATTGTGTCAAACTCAAGACTAGAGGCTCATTCCAGACACTGTATGTCATAAGTGTATGTCATACAATAACATACTGGCGCTACTGATCACTTGAAATTTTTAACCATTCTACTGTATGTACTGTACTGTATGTATAGTTAAATCCAATAAACTGAATGCAAACATTTTCCTATTTCAGTACACCATATAATTACAATGAATGCAATAATTGATTTAAATCTAAATAAACATTAATAATATCTATGAATAACAAAATCATATGAATATTGAATTTGTTGTTTATCTAATCATATTGA